TTTTGTCTTACCACAAATTTTCCTCCTCATAAGGATGAGGGAATCTAACAAATGGAATTATTTTTGGAAAAAAATTCCAAAATGCCCCATGAAGAGATCTGAAGGTTTTAATATACAGTACTGTAATACGAGCACAGTCTACATGCCATTTTTACATTCATAAATCTCTCATTTTTAAATCTTTGCAATAAATTAAAAGTGGTGAAAAATGTCGAGGCGAGGAGTGCAGCAGAATTTTGCAATAATATGTATATAAAATCCTGCTGAATTGACCCGATTTCCTACTGGTCGTTTCAGCAGGAATGAAGACGTTTGTTAACTCAGGGGGTTGCTGGCCCCTGTTGTTGAAAAGAGTGTTGGTCAGCATTCCCGGACGGTTTAAGCCTCTCGCACGGTTTTCTTTCGGCTTCATCTTCCATACGCGGCACTGTACTCCTGGGGTCAAACTGAAAGTGAAAGTCCTCAATGCTTGACTATTCCTTATTTTTTATCATTTCTTCCCAAGGTCGGCATGTCAAAGCTTCTCTGACATTGAGGAATTGTTTGATGCCCTTGGTTTTTTTTGGCGGGACAGGGGGTTCATGCACTTTGACGCAGTTTCATTTTCTTGAAGCCTCCAAGGCTTTTTTCTATTGCCAAAATTGTGGTCCTGTTATTTGTCCTTGGAGGACAGTTTCCCTGGTTTCTGAATCCATCAAAATAGTCCACTCTTCTCTGAGCTCTCATATAATGAGACACTCCAGCATTTTTTGTGAATATTGTGTGTGTTGATTGTGTTCTTGAATTATAACAACCTTAAAATAGGGTGAAATTTCACCCCAGTCGCAGCCCAACCAAATTCTGTTGTTTTATTCATTCTCATCTATAAGCAAATTCTTCCAAACTCAAATCATTTTTTCAAACATCTTTATTGTCAAGGATTAATTCCTGACAATCATTATAGGCCCATTACAGTATTTTTTAGGGTATAGAAACCTGAATTTACAGACGGGGTATAATTATATGCGATTTTGTGAGTCTCTACTTGTGAACCCATAATATCATCTTTTTGTGCAGATGTAAAAAAAAATCAGTTTTGATTTCGTTTCTTTCATTTCATTTCAGTTAATCTTTTTCTTTCAAGTCTCCATCTTGATTTTTCTTTTCGGTGGTCACGAAGCTCCCGGAAAAGCCTCGAAAAATCGTATGTTCCGGCGGAACAGCTGCTTAAAAACCTCTGCTCTGAATATTTTTCATGTGGTTGATTATGGATCTGGCTGCAATTTTTTTAGAGTTCGAAGGATTGAACTTGTTGTCAAAACGCTGTGATGCGTTCACTTGAGAGGAAGGAGAATTGAGCGAATAATAAAAGAGCACTCGTTCAAAACAGCGCATATCCAAAAGAGAACTGCGAAGCACTTTCTTGGTGTCATTATTAATCTTTGGGTCAAAAAGTAGACCTAGGCAGGTTAAAAGAAAATTGGTTTAGAGTTCATACTAATGTTATAGAGTTAATCACTCGACACATTTTTCTAACCACGATTTATTTGTTCGATTATAATTGTTGCATGAATATGTCGCAATTTAAAGATTCTGACGGGAAGTATATACTGTATAGTATTGTAATGTAATTTATATTTGTTGTGAGCGTATGGTTTTGAATTATTTATGATTTTAGTAATGCATTATCCTAAGATGTTGTGACGCCAGTAATACGCGACATTGTACTTGACTTAAACTTGAAATATTAGAACTTATTAAAGCTCAGCTCGTTTGTAAAATTTTTTCCTGGAAAGCCACCAAAATCTTTAAATTTCAAGGAATAAAAACCGAGTTCTACTTGAATAATTTAGTCAAGCGAATTTTCAAAAGAATACGACTAAAAAATTGGTCAAGTGAATGACTGAACAATATAGGGAGCATTGTCAGCAGTAGATCAAATTGCATACCGTGAACGCTGAGCTCCGAACAATAAAGCTATTCATGAAATTCTTGCGACATTTCTCAAAGAAGAATTTTTTTTAGCACGTATGTCGATCCTCAAAAAATATCTGCATGTATGCATCTGTCCTCGAAAGTGGAACTTGTTTTTTTATGTGTTTTGTGAATTGATTCGATTCCGAGCAGCGTATTGTAGACAATGTAACAGTGAATACGAATCTCTGCCACAGTGCATCAACTGAGTCAGCAGTAATGATTTACTTTTGAGTTTCTGTTCTAAAGATTGTCTATACAAAGTCACATCTAACCCTTCTCAAAACTAGATTCAGTTTGGGTCGATTCTTGGATTTTCCTGTTACATTTGGAATATTGCAGGCATGGATGGAACTGGGTGCTGAACTGTTGACTGCTGTACATGTTATTCTGTAATCCTTGGTTCTTCATTTTAATGTGCGAAAATTAAAATGTGAAAAATTGGAAGCAATACATATACACCATTTACAATGATGCATTATCCATCCCTTTTCTGCCTATATAGGCAAAGACTGTGCTTGGAATTTACCACTAAATCAATTGTATTGCTGAATCTCTTCCAATGATTCAACAAACTGAAGAACATTAATCTGAAAAAAAAAATCAGTAGATATGATTCCAAAAAAGTCTCTCAACAGCGTTGTATATTTGGGACATCCATCTCCACATTCAAAAAGGAGGACGCGAAAATAAACATGCTGCGTATAATCATATATATGATGGCGCTTTTCCATGCAATGTTCACACCAATAACGGCAATAAGTGACATGATTCCATTATTTCCTGGCATTGTTTTGGGACATTTCCCTCACAGTTTCATGTACCCATTCCATGTATTTGGAGATGTCTGTGTAAATTGCTGGAGTGCCACCCATGCACATTGGCCCATCGTTTCGGCTCACAATTCCAATCACTGTGTCTTCCAAAGTTAGAGGACCTCCAGAATCTCCCTGTGAAAAGGAATACTGTTACAGTTGGACATCCATCAGTCAAACTCAGGAGACCAAGAAAAAAAATGTCAACGTATTTGGGGTTGAATCAGTTTGAGTTGAGGAAACAATTGCAATTTTGGAAGAGGGAAATTGAACAATTAATACAAGTATACAGGAATGCGAATATCGTGATTTCAGAGGCATCAAAATAATGGGTAAATGAGTTGATGGGATGCTAAATTTGAAATTTTCAAAACTAGTCACTCATATTTCCTTTTGAGAATCATCAATGAGTTATATAATACATGGAAGTATTTCCAATAAGTGAGGATATCTCGCCCAAAGAAATGGCCTGTGGACAATTGTGTCAAAGCAATTTTAGGGTAAGTTCTCACAGTTAGAGATGTCTAGGTTGCACTGCTTGTCAGGAAATTTAGATAGGTACTGAATTACAAAATTGGCCTACTGTAGTAGCGTTTTTCATGTTATATAGGGTGTATTTTCTGTCAGCAAGGTACAAATATGATTAAGCTGAATATGTATACATATCAAGTACAATTTTCAATGAATAGCAGTAAAACGTTTAAGCGTGTTTTTTATGATTAATAGTGATATGCTTGACTTTAAACAAATCAGTTTAAACATTTCTGCACCTTTCATGGAGCAGAAATTGTTTTTTAATCCTAAAACACGTTTTTTCTTGGTACACCATTTTCATCCTGTCCACTAAATGGCTGCTGCTGGGTTTGCAGGGCTAAGGGCCCACAAAGAAATCAAATATTAAAAGAGCAAGATAATAAAAGACTGAATCTATAAAAATGCATAATCTGCCAGGGAACACAACAGGAATATTCAAAGGGGAATCTTCAAAAGAGAAGAAAATTGTATTTCAAAATGATAAAGACAAATATATTCAAACTGAGGACAAAATGCACAAGGAATTGAGGATTTTAGCAAACAAAAATGTTGCAGAAACAAAGTTTTCAAGCACAACCAAAGGCTTTGAAAACTAGGAAAGTAATAATATCAGTATTTTGTGAAAAGGCAAAAGATTGGTTTGTTGCATAATTCTTGGCAGAAGGGACTTCCAAAGGAATTCCTCTCTGCTGCATTCCATTTATTTCTTAATTCTTTCTTGATGTGAGTATTATTCACGTTTTTGTGATGTGCCCTCTGTGTGCCACAGGGTTGATGAATGCCAAATTTATGTGTTTGACAGCACCATTCAAATGTTTTCCCAGAACAGCTTTTCATATTCAGTTAAAAGGTGTTGTTTTGGTTGAACACAAATAACCTTGATAGCACAAGTATTCTCATCAAATATATTGTGATAAATTAGTACGCATTTAAAAAGAATAAAAAAATCCAGGAACTTGGCTGGAAAAATCAACCAGGAAATAAATGGATGATTATTTTGTAAGCAAGAAATGTTGAGAGACATTATTTCCACAGAAGTATTTTTAATGTAATTTAATATAATCAAGAATAATTTTGATCACTCACCACGCAAACAGTAGGAGCATTGCTTCCCACCTGGTCGCCAGTACATATGTCCTTCTCACAAAACAACTCAGATTCTGCATTGAAGAGTTGGCGACAAGTTTGAGACGAAAGCAGTGGAATACTCGCATATTGTAGATCTTGCGATATTGTTTCTGAATAATTATCATGCAGACCCCATCCAGATACAACTGCTATCTCGCCTGTACGTTGATGAGAAAAATCGTCAGGAATGGAACAGTATTTATATTGTGGATAAAAATAAAATAAATGCAGCTATGAGGAGTAAACTGTGAAAATGATAGCAATTCACTGGAAATTTTAAAAGATGCATTCTAATCATCATCCAATAATCATCATCATCCTATAAAAAATTGTCATTTCTGCTTGGGAAATCGTGCAGGAAACGGCAAAGATGTAAAAATTATTCACAATTGTATGAACTGAAATTATATAATATAATATATCACGAACTTACCTGAATCAGAACATTTTTTAAAATTCACGCATTTTTACGACCAAACAATTTGGCTTTGTGAAATAATTTTCTAATATCCGTCATTCCTTCCCGCCTCCCCCCCCCCCCATCCCATGAAAATTTGCATCATGCATATTTTTCGTTATGTGAGTCCTGTGTTATTCAGAGACTCATCACCGCAAATAAACTCCTTGAAGAGCTCTGTTATTTAGTTCAAATATATCAAATTATCTTTGTAGAATTTCAGCAGAGAAAAATAGTGCTTGTTCAGCTGACGTTAAACGAAAAAAATGAAAAAGGTTACCATCATAATTAGTGTCAGAAGATGTAGGGAAATTGGCGATTGCGATATTCGGATTGCCCATCGGAATCGATTCCGCCAGTTTAACCACACAAATGTCATGACTGTTGGAAGAACCAGAAATTATCAGAATTTTTGAAAATAATTAAATCCGGTTTATCTCATATGTGCATACCAAGAACTATTTCCTTCTCCTCCTACGTATAAAGGATGAGACCTGGTTTCTGCAACGGGAATATAAACTGCATCAGGGTCTTCAAGACGTGTACTGCCAGCTTGAATCTGCAAGAAAATACTTGTTTTTACATGAATTTATCCTGAAATGTCATTCTAAGATTTGTTTTACCTTCACAGTCCTCGTCTGAAAATCATCGCAACAATGAGCTGGAGTGAGAAAGAAATTTTCGTTTATGATGATGCCTCCGCAGTCGAATATTTGGTAACCCAAGATTTCAACAAAGATTGCCACTTGGTACGGGAACATTCCTGCGAGAAAAAATTAAATATTTACTGAAGTTAACATGAATCTGAAGGGTAACAAAAGCACATAAACTCGCCTGGAAGAGCAGTTTCTCCGAAGATTACACGATTTGGCGTATTTTCTTCATGGTTTGAAGCTGAAACGAAGAGAGCGTTCTATTTGAAAATAATAACTGGGATATATTTTGTCAATATCTCAAAAGAAGAAAGGTCTACGGGGTTATCTGCGAAACAGTTTTGTTTCAAATAAACTGGATCACTTTTAGCGCAGCCAAATATATAGTAAAACTGAACAGATGAAATTCCAAGACGTATTTAACAAATTTCAAAGATGACAACAGTCAATTTCACAGATGCGCAAATTGACTTTTCTCTGACGTACGATCAAATTACCTTTTTTTCACGTGACATATTTTCGCTGGAAAATACAAAATCTATTGAAGAATATTATAATTCTCCCCTTCGAATTCCATCAAGGATGTTCTCCAACTTGCTACAGAAATTGCTGACAAAGATAATTAATTGAGGCAGCATTTTATTTCAAAAAGACAGAATTTTAGTCAGTTCTGAAAGTGACAAGGAATAAATGCAGAAAAGAAAATGTTTCCAGGCTTAAATTAATGGTACAGTTGGTACCTTGCAATGTGACCCTATATAATCCGTTGCTTAACTTTATAGGGTAAAATGGCAAATTGGTCAAATTGCGAGACACTCAGTGAAATTCAAAAGTATAAAATCAAAAATGTAAAAAAGTGGCCAAAGCAGGTTGGGTTGTGGGGCAAGGGTTGAATTGCAAGTCAACCTTCCTGCAAATTTGACCATCAAATGCAGAATGGTCAATTTATGGGAGGTCAAATTGCAAGGTATCACCTGTACAGTGTATACAGAATAGAATATCAGTGTTTCCCAACCTTTTTGAGCCCATGGACCAGCAATAAGTTGCCTTAAAGCTTTTTGCAGACTGGCAAACTTCCTGTAAATGTTCCACAGACTGGCACTTTTTTTCAATTTTTGCAGAAAGCTTCATAATTACAGCCATTTAAAAAGTTTCTGCTATGCCACAAAAATTAAGATCCAAGGAAGCAGGAGCACAGCTGAATTTTTCTTTAAATTGAACAGGTGGTCTTGAAGAAAGATTTCTCAGACTGAGAAAATTAAAATTACTTATTTCAGCATTTGAAATGTTTTATGTATTGCAATTGAGAGAAAAGCAAACTTGTGTTTTCTTTAGATAATTTCAACTATCATTTCTTTTCCTGAAGTTTCAAATGAAGATAGCAGAATCCATTGCTACTTTTCTCTATATTTTTTTCTGCATAAAATCTCTCGCAGACTTTCAAAAAACTTCTGCGAACCAGCACAGGTCCACGGACCATGGGTTGATGAACACAGGACTAGATCATAAAATTTGTATCATGAAGTCAACTAAAAAGTCCTCTACATAAGCCCACATTTCTGTGGGATTTATCTAATTATCCGTTTCAGAAAGACTGATTAATTTATATTAAGCATGCCAGAGAAATTTACACTACACACATTCCGGTATTAATTTACTGTACTGATATTTTAAGTAGATTCGATTGACGTTAATAACTGATAAATGATGAACGAACAAAACCGTACATAATTTCAGTTTCAGGTGGTATTTTATGCCATATCCCCATTCATGAACTCATCATAATTCAAATCATAAAATCCCTTACCTGAAGCTTCTCCAGCAAGGACAAAAGCTGCGCATGAAATAATTGCCCACAACCCTTTCCAGTTGATTGAAGCCATGTCTAGAATAGGAGCAAAACTCTCCACTCACAAAAATGAACAAAGAACATGGAAAAGAACTGATCTGACTCGAAAAATATCTTGCAGTTTCTTTTTATTGATGAAATGAGAACTCTCACCACGTGGATATTTCTTTTGCATAAACAGTCGACGATGTAATTTCATGAGTATTAACAAAATTTCACCCGACCACGAAATAAATGCTCTTTTTGTCAGTGGAATGATTAATTACCAATTTATTTACCCGTGCGCGTCGTTATATCAAATGTACCACAAAATCTTCTCACTCATGTCATATCTTGCCAAAAAAACCTGATGTGCAAAAATGTATCTCGATTGAAAAAAATATGCACTCAATTTCTCAGATGATGGATAAGATTTGTTCTCTTGTATGATTAGGTGTGATAAGAATTGATGAGAAGTGAACAACAGAAATTGGTCAGTTTTACCACTTACCATCCAGAGGGAGGTTCCATATGATGAATATATGTTTAGTTTTTCTGAGCAAATACAATCGCCAAATACACTCAGTTTTGACAGCTGGAAACTTTCCCCAATTTCTTTTTGAAATGCACAATTTGAAGTTTAGAACTTTTATTGACAAAATAAAATGTTTCAGCACTATTTTTCCAACCCAGCTGGCTACAAATACTACTGAAGTGAACTGAATGTTGACCTGAAGTAGACTTCTTCCATCAATTTGAATAAAATGGGGATTCTAGCTATTGTGATATGTTTTGCCAGAAAATACTATTTTTCACTTGTGCAGCAGGAAATTGAGGATTCTTCTAACTCTTCAGAAGCCAAAGTGGATTGCTCTTGACTATTGAATGTATTTTGAAAGAAACACTGTATCTAGCATTTTCCTGTGATCAGGGCTCCATTTGCACAGAGTTCCAACTGTTGAAGGTTTTTGGTTTTAAAGCTATTTAGCTCACATTTTCAAGTGGTACCTGGTCATCCACCAGTCAGTCAATTCACAGTTGCGCACCTGCAGGTTGTCAAGTGCCGGTTGATCCAACTGCCAGCCAGGGCAGTCCTTGGCCTTGCCAATCCCCAGTCCACCAAAGCGTGGTCTGGTCACCCAATTGTTGGGGCACCCAAACAATTGGGTGACAAGAATCATGCTGATTCTTTTCAGAATTTGGTGAGCAGAATGGTATCCTACCAGATTATTATTTTTTTTTTTTACAAAATTTCATCTAAAAAAAATATCACAAAAAGAAAAAACTCATCAAACCCAACCTAACCTAACATACCCTAACCTAACCTAACCTAAACTAACAAAACATAATATAAACTGACTGAACCTGAACTAACATTTCTGAAATTTTGAAGAAAAAAAATCTGTGGTAGGATACCATTCTGCTCACCAAATTCTGGAAAGATTCAGCATGATTCTTGTCACCCAATTGTTTGGGTGCCCTTTGTTAGTCCACTGACCTGACGTGAAACCACCTGACCCCTAACCGTTCCGGTTCCTGACGGGACCGACCGTTAACTCGGTTGGACGCGAACTACTGGTCGTCCACGCGTTGGTACTTAACTAGTTGGGGCGGCTGACCTGGCACATTGTGAAGTTGGGTAATTTGTATCACCCTCTTCATCTCATGAGAATCACTCACTGACTTGTTATCCCAGAGGAAGCCATATTTTACATCTTGATGGGCTACACAGTTTTAGTTATCTTACTTATTGACATGTTGATTTAGTAAAAAACATTGGCATTTTTGCAGAAAATCACCACATATGAATGTTCAATTCCTGGTAGTGTAAAAATGCAGGAAACAGTACAGTCAACCCCCATCTAATGAACTTGATTTTGTGCAACGGGCAAGTCTGTTAGACAAAAAGTCCTTTACACAAATTCAAATGTATAAAAAATTGCAATGTTCAACACTAATTTTGAACCAAAAGAAGTCTGTTTGGTGGATTTTATCTGTTGGGCGGGAGTATAAACTACCTGCAGAGCTGGTCTGTTCGGCGGGGGGCCACTGTATTATAATAAAAAGGAATTTCCTTTTTTGTTCAAGTGATATAACTGACATTATCAGGACAACAAAATCTGCTATCAGAGCATTTCCAAACCAGAAACTTATTTCTGAAACTCAACAAAGAAATTTTTATTTTTAAAGCCATTTTTGCTTTGAAATATGTTTACGAAATTGAGGCTCAAGGCGGATGGACTGGTCCCTTGCTTTATGCCTGAATAAAAATAGGCTGGGAATAATCCCTAGTTGTCCTAGGATGGCGCAGACCCTGTTCCTTGTTGTCTAGTGGGGTCAGGCTCTTCTGAAAGGAGACATGTGTTTACAATGAATGGTAGAGTGCCCTGAATGGAAGGGACTCAACAATCCTCACTAGTCTCTGACCCTAGACTTTCCAATTACATCAGGTTACCAGTGATATCAGTCCTCACCCATTTTATGAGTTGGTTTCAATAAGGAAATGTATTCATAATGTGTAAATCCACTGGGAAAATGATGGATTAGTATAGGGATCCTGGCTTTTTGAGTCCTGGCGGATATTCTGGGAGAGATCTTCAGAAAATAGATCTCAATGTGGATTAAACCTCTAGGTCTAGAAGTCCCTTGTTTCTATCCAACTTTGATTTATGTTTATTTTTTTTTGCATTTTGGCAGATTTTTGAAAGGGATTTTATACTTGTTGGTATTTTATTGTTGTATTTACAAAGGCTAGTTGATCCTTTGTGCTAAAAATATGGGATATTTGGGTTTAAAATTTGTGCAACAATTTGGTGTCGATATATTGAATTTATATTTGCAGTTAGAACTCAAGTTGCCCTCATCTAGTTGAATTTCAGCAAGCTTTGAC